CAAAATAGATCCAACCCCTGTCCACCTTAAATTTTTCCACTAACCTTGTATGCATTGTGAGTTTGGCAGCGGTCAGTGAAGTTCGCTTCACGGCATTTCGCTGTACGATGATGATGATGATGACTAGTTGAAATATAGCAATATGTGAATGTCGCCATGTGTAGATCGTACAACGGAAAATGCAGCTACTTGGATCTTTGTTCACTCGAAAATGTTACAACATGGTAGTTAAAGTATGCCGTGATTTCAAATGGTTACCAGATACTTCGTGAACAGTCATAACCGCCTTACTATATAATGTCACATAAAAGCCGTTCTAATTGCACCGTCAAACTCAAGTCGCTCAGGTCTTTTGCCGAGCACGAAACGGTCCCATCAAGTCAAATGGAACAGGACAACTCGAGGAGCACGGATGGCTGCTTTTACTGATACAAGCTCACCCGGTTGCAAGAGAGACATAAGCCCCCCTTCCTACCGCCCAGCCCCGCTCCCCTCCCTCATCTCCTCATCTCCACTAGGCATCCTAAACGGCACTGACTTCAAGAGATAATAAAAAACGAAATGCATTCGTCAAAGCCGGGGGCTCGCAAGTTCTAAGCCAATTACCTTGTCTAGCAGAAAAGATATGGCTAGGCTAAGGAATTTAGGTGAAAAACTGAGCCTATATCGCTTTTTTCATATTGAAAACCCCGCCAATGGTCTGGTGCATGTTACCTCATCCAAATGTTTCACAACCCGTAGAATGTACTCTTGTTATTAGCGTAGTTTTGTGAGACATAAAACAACGTAGTTTCATCCAGGTTATTTTTTCTTCATAAGAACAAATACCAAGAGTCGGTTGTTGAACTTCATGTGGTTTGCAGTTTGCATACCTGCATACATCAGATGAACGAGAGCGCACATAAACAGAGTACAGTCGCACACATTTAGGTAGCTAGTTTCTGTGGTGTAACTGAAATCGCCCAACAAAACTCAAAGTCAACGAAATTCCTTATGAATACCGGGTTGATCTTTGAGAAATTTATGGATTTGCAGTTCTAGTACATACATTTAAATTACACTTTGAATGGGCCAGGGCGCAGTTGAAAAAGTCAAACGTGTGTAAGGTGAGGATTAAAAGAAAAAAACTATTCAGCAACTGGCATGGTTTAATCCCTGAGCAAATAAAACGAAGTATTAGTGCAGCTAGTATCGACCAATAGTGTTTGCAATCACGTATGTTTCACTTCCTCGAGCAGAAAAGGGAAGAGCGATTCGTCCGATAACGAGGGGCCAAACAAGACCTAACACTACGCACTACTACCACCACTACCAGTATTTTTAACCATTCATATATAAATTAATCACGTTTACTCAACCAACGCAAACAGCCCAGACCAAATAAGTCTATCTGAGGTGATCTGCAATCAATCCGTCGACTATGACAAATTGTGAAAACCTATCGTGGGAACAGTGGGAACAATTAGGTATCTCTCGTTTTCCAGACTGGAGTCCGAAGGAACTCCTAATCGGTCCGCTGAAAGCAATCAAGGTAATAGCAGTGGACCGACATCAGTAGCAGTACTCTTGTTGTCAGTTCTTGTCAGGCCAGAATGCTCGAAGAGGTGTAAATGCATAATCAGACTGTGTATTGTGTGTTGACCACAGTATTTCACTTTCAGGAGGATTCAGTCCCTGTACACCGTCCACATTTGTATTTACTGTGTACGCACTTTGAACTCGACAGCGATCAGTGAAGATCGATTGACTGTGTTTCACTGAGACAGGATGACGCGGCGGTCTGCAAGCGGTTGTTGTACCAAATCCACGCCAACCTGAATTGTCATCTCAAGACAAGTCAAGTGGAACTAATCTCGGAAATCGGAGAAACAAATATTTCGGCAACCGTATAAAAAGGTAAAACAAATGCATGGGAGATTCGCTACATTGATAAGTGATCCAACAGTAGACAAAAAGTGAACAAACTTACTACTCTTCTCGACTGACTGAATTGATTGTGATGATTGTTTCCGTTCCGGTTCTTCTTCTTCTCCTTTCGTTTCCAACTGTGGGCTTCTCGCGGTTGCCCGTTGTGGCTCTTCCTCTTCTTCTGTCTCACTCAAGGCCTCGCGTAGCGAACCGTCCGCCTGGAAGTAAACGATACCAGATAAAGACGGAGCAATGCGACTACCTCGGAAGTGGAGAGAGGGCTGATCAGTTTATGGGATGCTCGTGCAACAACGAATAGGACTGGAGAGAAGAAATCCTTCGTTGAGGTAATTAAAATTTCCCTCTCTTTCTTCCGGAACACATTGGGATTGCTTGCTTGTAACCCTTAGGATTGAAGTGTCGTAAAATCACCAAATATGGCGCTCCTGATTGTAAGAAACAATCTAGGAAATCTTTAACAATAACATCATTATCACAGTGTATGGGAATGGACTATCACTTTTCACGAACCTTGCCGCAAACCAACTGACGTAGACAGGAGCGATCTGGCAAATCCAAGGACCCGATTTATCCCCGGGTAGGAACTAATCGTACAAAAGTAATGAGCCGATTCTACGTCTCGGAAAATGTAATTGATTAAAATTGGGAGATTTATTATACGACAAGTGGATCCATTATGCAAAGTCAATAAATTAGTAACCACTTATAGCCTCATACAATCAGGTTGCTATTACACACCGTAGTTCTACGAACGACAGCAGAGCTCAATTTCATTGTGATGCCGACAAACTGCCCTGATTTGAAAAGTGAAGCACAAAACCACGTTTCCTTAAGATACACGAATGATGTATGAAGCCGGGTGTCCGTGAACAGGACCAACGTCTAATAGTCCTATCACACGATCAATCAAACCGGTGAGAAAGGATTCCCATGTACAATGAAGCAATCAAGTTAGCTGTCCAACTGACAGTGACGTACCATGCCTTGCTCGACACTGGATTTGACCAGTTGATAAATGGTGAAAAAACACTCCTTTGTTGACTCCAAATTCCGATCCAAAGTGACGAGGAAATCTTTCAATCCAGTTAGCTGGTTGATGAAGAATGAAAGAGACAGGTCAGTGATTAGTTTGGAAGATAGTGATCTACACAACTCAAAATTTGACTAGCATCGTTATGCCCACGATAAGCCTGATATGAAATACGGTAACGGAGTACACTTCACCAACTCGGGGACTGTTGTACAGTGAACGTAAAAGGTCAGTACAGTTTACCAATAACCAATAAT